CCTTGGGGGAGTCTTCACGCTGAAGTCTGATTTTAGCTGAGCTGAGTTGTAGCTGAGGGACAGTTTCTCTGAGGCACTGTTGCAAGACGTTATGCTTCTGTGAGAGGTCAGTAATCTTAATTACTTCTCCTTTAAAGTCACGGAGATGGCGATAGAAAATGCCATCTAAATAGCTGTGTTGCACACAAGCGCAAGGGGATTGTGATGCCCATCTATGACCAGAACTAAGCAGTCCAGGACTGAGATTGTTTCAGGCAAATCAGAATAATCATAGAATCATAGCACCATTGGGTTATAAGGGACCACAAAGGTTGTCTAGTTGGACTGCTTAGTTCTGGTCATAGATGGGCATCACAATCCCTTTGCCGCTGCCAAAATGCAGGATTTTTTGGCTAAACCATCCAAGACATTCATGGACATCATAGTGAAAAAGAATGAGCAATGAGGATTTAGGAACCGAGTGAGAACAGAAATTGATTCTAGCCTAGTAGTAATAATGACTTTGAATAGAACTTTATTTAGAGTTTGGTTAAAAAAGAGCACCCTAGAATATTATTCAGAGGTTCTTTGGGTTTTCTGTTGGGACAATTGGATCTGGTGTGTTTTTTGTTTTTTAAAGGAATTCAGAATATTTCATGGTTCAGGCTGATAGTGATTGAAAGCTTGTTCCTCTGCATTGGCTGTTTGACCTATGGCAGGGGTGGGAAAACAATGGCCCGAGGGCTGCATCCGGCCTGTCGGACATTTTAATCTGGCCCTCGAGCTCCTGTGGGGGTTAGGAGCTTTCCCCACTCCGGTGCTCCAGCTGGGGAGCGGGTCGGGGGCTTGCCTTGCTCTGCTCCGCTTGGCTCCCAGAAGCAGGAGTAGCCAGGGGGCTCTGCATGCTGCCCCTGCCCCAAGCACTGGCTCTGCAGCTCCCATTGGCCAGGAACTGCAGCCAATGGGAGCTGCCGGGGCAGTGCCTGCTGACCAGGCAGCACGCAGAGTGGCGTGGCCCCGCCTCCGGAGGGGGGACGAGCCGCTGTTTCCAGGAGCCACTTCAGGTAAGCGCCACACGGATCCTGCACCCCTGAGTCCCCCGCCCACCACACTCCAACCCCCTTGCCCCAGCCCTGATTGCCCTCCAAAACCCTTTGATCCCAGCCTGGAGCACCCTCCTGCACCCCAAACTCCTCATCCCCAGCTCCACTCCAAAGTCTGTACCCGCAGCTGGAGCCGCACCCCCCCGTGCGCCCCAATCCCCTGCCGCAGCTGGCCCTCCATACAATTTCCATACCGAGATGTGGCCCTCAGACCAAAAAGTTTGCTCACCCCTGGCCTATGGAGATGAATTGGGTATCTCAGTTCAGTTTCTAGTGGACAGGTATCTACATAATAAATCCCCATCACAGCTAGTACCCTTATAGGGTTTTAGCGGGGGGGAGGGAGCAGTCAAAGATTGCACAGACACATCCCCAGAGGTGGTTATTTCAAAAGGCTGAAGCATATTGGTGCTGCTGCCTATGCTGCTCCTTTTCTGTGACCAGCCGACTCTACTCCAGGGCTGACAATCAGATACCTTTCACCAGCACTAAAATTCATTAAAAATGGAACAAAATATTAGCAGTGGCATTCTCCTACTGCAGTATCAATACAAATGGAAGGAACAGAGCATGTATTATAAAGGCTGTATCCAGCTGCTATCTAATATCAAGTCTAAGTGACAGTTACAATTTATTTTAATGTTGTGGTAGCAACACATTAGTTAGAGCAGAGTAAACAATACAAACCCGAATCTGAAAATAATCCTTTGTGCTTTGGTTTGTTTTTTTAAATGGGTTCATTTCAGCTATGTTTGGTCCCCTTTTGTGTTTTGCTTTTCATAATAGGCTAAACTATTCAGGGAAAGTAAATCTTAAAAGTCACAAACAATGTTTTTCATTTAATGCATGAACATCCATAAAAGGGGCAGAAACAATATTATTTGATTCCAGCTAAGCAACACCGGTTTCAAAAAAGAACTAGATAAATTCATGGAGAATGGGTCCATCAATGGCTATTAGCCTGGATGGGCAGGAATGGTGTCCCTAGCCTCTGTTTGCCAGAAGCTGGGAATGAGCGATAGGGGATGGATCACTTGTTCTGTCCATTCCCTCTGGGGCACCTGGCGTTGGCCACTGTCAGAGGACAGGATACTTGGCTGGATGGACCTTTGGTCTGACCCAGTATGGCCGTTCTTATGTTCATTTTCAATCATTCACAACCATCCTGTAGAACTAAAATATATATGAATTGAATAAATTCAGGAAAAATCATCTGCTCATGATATTTCACAAGCCAATAATAAGGCTACTTTTAAAACAATTAATTAAATAATTTTGCAAATTATTAGCTGCATTGTAGCAAATGGTTAGTGAATTGATAAGGCTGAGTTGGTGCTTTCATTCAAACCCTGGTTTTCAGGTGTTTGAAATTGTGTTAAAAAAATTGCCTGATGCATGAAAAGTTTCAGCACAGGTTCTCAATCCAGATGTGTGTGTGTGTGTTGCAGGAGAAAATTGTGAAGAAAATCCATTTAGCTGTTGTCTGAGCATGAATGTTATTTTATATAAAATATATATTAAACATTTTTTGTTAAGGGAATTGGTGATATTTCTTACACTCAGATATCAGAAATGTAGTTTTATTTTGTTTGTTTTTCTGTGCACCAAACATTACAGCTGGTCAGAAAAATGGAATTTTAAATGTGAAATGATGCTGCCATTCCAAATGGCATACTCATTTGTGTAACGCTTAGGAGGGTGGCCTCCATGGCATAGCCCTTCCTTGACTTCAACGTACTAGCACATGTGCCAGATCCTAAATCATTATAGCTCCATTCAAATCGAGTAACTTTTTTGCCAGTTTACACCATCTGAGGCTTTGACCCACTGTATGTGCGCTGTTATACTAATTGTTTAGTGCAAAGAGGCTGGATCCTAAGCTGTTCTCTTTTCCTCCGTACCACGAACTGAAGAGTGCGCTTACATTTAAATGCCAGGGTGATCATTCTCTGTCCAAACAGATTGCCCAGAAGAAAAGCTCTGTTGTAACATATTTGTGTTGCATCAATATCACTGTTTTTGTTTCAAACTATAAAAGTGAAAGTAATTCATACATTCACATACTAATACATATACTTGCAAATGTATTAATATTATGAATAAACATTTCTATGCATCATAACTGCATGGTGCCCTACACAGATGATAAAAAACATGGTCTCTGCAGGAAAGAATTTGCCTTGATCTTGCAAATAATGATGCCCATTTGTATAGTTATGCTCAGTGTCCCACTGACGTCGTATGCACAGATGCAACTGTTTGCATGATCAAGTGCTAAATTAGACCACTGTAGGCCAGGAAGTTAAACAAAGGATAGGGAATGGGATGAGGGTTAAAACAAAAAATGAGTCGTGAGTGAATCATAAAAGTTTGATCATTTTAAAATAAAGACTTCTCCTCCTTCTAAAAGAAGCACTTGCAGCTTTTAAGATTCTCTCGCCTAAGTGGCCGAAGCAGCAAACCTGTGTGATTCTGGAATTAAGGTAAACAAAATGCTCAGTAATGCTGTGCTTAAATATCTATCGTCGTATTGCAAAACAAAAGATCTTTTCAGAGCAAACACAAATCCACTTGTTGTTAGTTATTAGTTTATTGCAGTAGTACCTGGAAGCCACAGTAGGACAGGGTCCATATTGATCAATGCTTCACAAAAACACACTAAACCACAGTACCTGTTCTGATGGGCTAATGGGCCAAGGCCTTGATCCTGCAATGACTCTGTATGGGCACAGCAGTGCAACCATCGGGAGCCCCATCAATTTTTAACAAGCTATAGTGGTGTGTTTTCACATAACCAGTTGCAGGATTGAGATCTAAACGGAAGTGATGCTGTCAATAGGATGCGCCATATGTCTGAAAACTGGGACCCAAAGCATACATATATAATCCAGGACCATATAGAACATGCCAAGTCTTCCATTTAAAAATTAGTTATAGCTTTTGCATTGAGATATCACAAATATCACCAGTTTCCTTAACAACAAAAATTATGCTCAGCCACAGCTAAATGGATTTTCTTCAAAATTCTCCTCTTCAAAACACATACTTCTAGGCTGAGAATCTGTACTGAAAATTCTCATACAGCAGGTCATCTTTTAATGAAATTTTAAGCACCTGAAAATAGCTCATTTGAATGAAAGCACCATCTCATCCTTAATGATCAGTACTTCAACATTTGCTTTAATACAGCCAATAACTTGCAAAAGTAATTTCTTTAAAACAAAAGTCTCTTTTTCGCTTGTGGAGTATCATGCATTATATATGATACTAAATAGCATTAAATGCAACATGCCTTATTTCTCTGAAGAAAATAGGAAATAAACAAGACCTAGTTTAAAAAGTTGTGATCATTTGCAGCAAACAGCTGTCCATTCTGTTCTATTACAGAAGTGGCATCACTCTTACAGAAATTAAAAACAAGGAGGGCTTACCAGCCATTCCCAGGGCTATTCACATTAATGAATGTAGGTGCCCCCATCAAATGATGTAAAATTAGACCCTGAACATTCTTATACATACATTTGCCTCAGTTTTCAAAATGGGATGCAATGTGTCCAGGTTCTTATTGGCAGAGCACTCTTTGCTGCTTCTTTAGAATATTTGACTGATAAAAAGATCCAATAAAAACACAAATTAAAGAGATTTCTGTCAGTGAATGGATGGATACTACTACTACTACTAAATAAAAAAGTCAGCTGTAGAGAGATTGACATTTATTTGTGAAACAAGTTTCTTCATTTTCATGAACGCTTTGTCAAAGCTGGATGTAACTTTTGTTGATGTGCCTTCTTGAGGGGTCAGAAAAAATATCTGAAAGAACCCGACAAAGGGTCTTTTACAGAACATTTATTTTTAAGGGAAGCCGATGATTTGTTTCATGTTCTAACTTTGCTCTTCTCTCAAAACAGGAAATTATTTGGGGGACATACATAGTGACCCATTATTCCAAATCATCATCATTACCTTCATTTTGTGCAGTTTGCCCTAATCCCCTCCCAACACATGGCCCAGATGTGGCCAATTCTGGCTGAGTTCCTTCTTTTCCTAATTAAAGTGGTTCAAGGGCCAGGTAAGTGTGGAAGATCATTAAATGAATATAATACCGTGAGTTCCAGAGGACTGATAAGTAGTCTCCTCTTTCAACAAACTGTTACTCTAAAATTGACAAGGGGAAACTACTGAATAAAGCAAGCCGCAGTACAAACAAAGGAGAGGCCCTACTACAAAAGAAAAATAAACTTCACAGACAGATTTGGCCAGAAGTAGTGCTGCTACTTAATGTGAAAGCAGAAGAGTGGCACGAATTAGGATTACAGTACACACAATCTTTCTGCACCGCTGGACTGCCACAATAAGGTGCTGCTGGATAGGACTGCAGTACAAATAACACGAAAGGCCCCATCTAGAGTACAATTTAATGCAAATCACCAGGGTTGAAAATCGCAGTATAGACAGGACTTTTCTGTGTCCCCGTAACTGCACTAATGCTGTGGGCAACCTAGGGTTTTTAAGATTGCTACAAGTATGTGATTAGGTTCCATCTATATTACAGGGTTTTTTTTAGCTGTGTTATAACCAGGTCCTCTGAGGAATTCCCTTCCTTTCTTGAGTGATTCCCTCACCCTACCACTTTCTCAAAGCCCTCTATCAAGGTGAACAAAATTCCTTGGCAGTAGAGGCTTTCATTGTGACGTTAGCCCACCACCATGAATCAATACAAAGCACCACAAGGCACTGTCTCCACGGCACACCCAATTCCTTATGACTAGGTAAGCAGGAGACTGGGCATGGAAAATAAACACATATTTTATGTGGCCGCACAGAGCACTAACATAGAGTTGCAAGCCCATTGGAGAAATCCTTGAGCAGCAAGTAAGTGAGAGGAATCAGGCTCCAACTTCATAGTGTCTTTAAATGGTGACCGAGGCCTAGGATCTGCAGTAACAAGGTGCTTCCATAGAAGGTGGGACCAGTGAGGTCAGTCCTGGAAACTCATGTCACCCTGGCACATCTCAAGTTCTCAGCTAATTTTTAAACCATTTACCATAAATATATAGAGAAGTGTCCAGGATGCTGCAGGAAGAGGTTTCAATACAGTATGGGAGCAGAGATGTTTAATCCTAATGAAATTAAAACTCCATACACTATAATGGCAGCTCGAGTGACGTTTTCAATTCCGCTCTTCTTCCCATGTAGCTGACAGCACAGCATCTGCAGTGGTAGGCACCAAGGCTGTGCTAAGATGCCCTAACACCTCAGTGTCATCTCTGATTTTGGTAATATGGAAAATAAGACCAAAGAGTGAAAGTCACTGCTCGTTGGCATATAGAGCTGATGCCAATAAGACAGACAGAACAAACTGCAATGAGAGGATGACTTGGGAATCTAGTCCTGATCATGACCCCGCCCTTCAGATTCACCCTGTGAGACTTGCTGATGAGGGTAATTACACCTGTGAAATTGCAACTAGCGATGGGACTTTTTGCCTAGTCTCTGCTCTCACTGTGTTAGGTAAGAAAAACCTTGTGTGTCTTGATTTTTGTTATTAAAATGAAAAAGAGCTCTGTGGAGCTCAAAAGCTTTTCTCTCTCACCAACAGAAGTTGGTCCAATAAAAGATATTACCTCACCCACCTTATCATAATTCATGTCACTTGCTTTTCCTTCTTGGTACTTGCCTCTCAGATAATGGCTAAACTAGTCTGTCCCCTTCCTCTTCTTAATCTGAGTTTTTCTCTGTCTGGTCAAGGGCAGAATATGTATTGCTGGTGTCTAGTCTGAATAGTTCCATGGGATTCCTTCTTGCCCTGCCCATTTCCCTTTCATATTGTCAGATTCTGAATTCTTCCTATGTATTCATAAAAATTCCAGCTGTGATTTTTACCACACTGTGTTCTCACCAGTCTGTGTTTTGCTAACAGATAGTCAGACCCCTTGTTGTAATAATTGATTCTAAAGCAGAAAGAACCACTGTGATCATCTAGTCTGACTTCCTGTAAAACACAGGCTATAGAGCTCCCCTGAAATAATTCCTGTTTGAACTAGAGCAGTGGTTGGTTCCCAAACTTGTTCTGCTGCTTGTTCAGGGAAAGCCACTGGCGGGCCAGGCCGGTTTGTGTACCTGCCACGTCCACAGTTTGGCCGATCGCGGCTCCCAGTGGCCGCGGTTCGCTGCTCCAGGCCAATGAGAGCTGCTGGAAGTGGCGCGGGCCGAGGGACATACTGGCCTGCCAGGGGCTTTCCCTGAACAAGCCGAGGAACAAGTTTGGGAACCACTGAACTAGAGCATATCTTTTAGAAAAGCATCCACTCTTGATTTAAAAATTGCCAGTGATGGAGAATCCTATGCCTTTCCTCTAGCTGCCTCCCCCCTCCCCCCTGCTATCATCATCATCATCATCATCATCAT